ACCTCAGGTACCAGCCTGTGTGCGCAACATGCCAATAACACGCCAATAACACGCCAATAACATGTCGCTAACACCCTCCCTCATCAGCCACCTCAGGTACCAGCCCGTGTGTGCAACACGCCAATAACACGCCAATAACATGCCGCTAACACCCTCCCTCATCAGCCACCTCAGGTACCAGCCCGTGTGTGCAACACGCCAATAACACGCCAATAACATGTCGCTAACACCCCCCTCATCAGCCACCTCAGGTACCAGCCCGTGTGTGCAACACGCCAATAACACGCCAATAACATGCCGCGAACACCCTCCCTCATCAGCCACCTCAGGTACCAGCCCGTGTGTGCAACACGCCAATAACACGCCAACAACACGCCAATAACATGTCGCTAGCACCCTCCCTTATCAGCCACCTCAGGTACCAGCCCGTGTGTGCAACACGCCAATAACACGCCAATAATATGTCGCTAACACCCTCATCAGCCACCTCAGGTACCAGCCCGTGTGTGCAACACGCCAATAACACGCCAACAACATGTCGCTAACACCCTCCCTCATCAGCCACCTCAGGTACCAGCCCGTGTGTGCAACACGCCAATAACACGCCAATAACATGTCTCTAACACCCTCCCTCATCAGCCACCTTAGGTACCAGCCCGTGTGTGCAGCACGCCAATAACACGCCAATAACACGCCAATAACATGTCGCTAACACCCTAATCAGCCACCTCAGGTACCAGCCCGTGTGTGCAACACGACAATAACACGCCAATAACATGTCGCTAACACCCTCATCAGCCACCTCAGGTACCAGCCCGTGTGTGCAACACGCCAATAACACGCCAATAAAATGCCGCGAACACCCTCCCTCATCAGCCACCTCAGGTACCAGCCCGTGTGTGCAACACGCCAATAACACGCCAACAACACGCCAATAACATGTCGCTAACACCCTCCCTTATCAGCCACCTCAGGTACCAGCCCGTGTGTGCAACACGCCAATAACACGCCAATAACATGTCGCTAACACCCTCATCAGCCACCTCAGGTACCAGCCCGTGTGTGCAACACGCCAATAACACGCCAATAACACGCCAACAACATGTCGCTAACACCCTCCCTCATCAGCCACCTCAGGTACCAGCCCGTGTGTGCAGCACGCCAATAACACGCCAATAAAATGCCGCGAACACCCTCCCTCATCAGCCACCTCAGGTACCAGCCCATGTGTGCAACACGCCAATAACACGCCAATAACATGTCGCTAACATCCTCATCAGCCACCTCAGGTACCAGCCCGTGTATGCAACACGTCAATAACACGCCAATAACATGTCGCTAACACCCTCATCAGCCACCTCAGGTACCAGCCCGTGTGTGCAACACGCCAATAACACGCCAATAACATGTCGCTAACACCCTCATCAGCCACCTCAGGTACCAGCCCGTCTGTGCAACACGTCAATAACACGCCAATAACATGTCGCTAACACCCTCATCAGCCACCTCAGGTACCAGCCCGTGTGTGCAACACGCCAATAACATGTCACTAACACCCTCATCAGCCACCTCGGGTACCAGCCCGTGTGTGCAACACGCCAATAACACGCCAATAACATGTCGCTAACACCCTTGTCAGCCACCTTAGGTACCAGCCCGTGTGTGCAACACGCCAATAACACGGCAATAACATGTCGCTAACACCCTCGTCAGCCACCTCAGGTACCAGCCCGTGTGTGTAACACGCCAATAACACGCCAATAACATGTCGCTAACACCCTCGTCAGCCACCTCAGGTACCAGCCTGTGTGAGTAGCACGTCAATAACACGCCAATAACATGCCGCTAACAGCCTCACCGGCCACCTCGGGTACCAGCCTGTGTGTGTGCAACACGCCAATAACACGCCAATAACATGTCGCTAACACCCTCACCAGCCACCTCAGGTACCAGCCCGTGTGTGGAACACGCCAATAACACGCCAATAACATGTCGCTAACACCCTCATCAGCCACCTCAGGTACCAGCCCGTGTGTGCAACACGCCAATAACATGTCGCTAACACCCTCATCAGCCACCTCAGGTACCAGCCCGTGTGTGCAACACGCCAATAACACGCCAATAACATGTCGCTAACACCCTCATCAGCCACCTCAGGTACCAGCCCATGTGTGCAACACGCCAATAACACGCCAATAACATGTCGCTAACACCCTCATCAGCCACCTCAGGTACCAGCCCGTGTGTGCAACACGCCAATAACACGCCAATAACATGTCGCTAACACCCTCATCAGCCACCTCAGGTACCAGCCCGTGTGTGCAACACGTCAATAACACGCCAATAACATGTCGCTAACACCCTCATCAGCCACCTCAGGTACCAGCCCGTGTGTGCAACACGCCAATAACATGTCACTAACACCCTCATCAGCCACCTCGGGTACCAGCCCGTGTGTGCAACACGCCAATAACACGCCAATAACATGTCGCTAACACCCTCGTCAGCCACCTTAGGTACCAGCCCGTGTGTGCAACACGCCAATAACACGGCAATAACATGTCGCTAACACCCTCGTCAGCCACCTCAGGTACCAGCCCGTGTGTGTAACACGCCAATAACACGCCAATAACATGTCGCTAACACCCTCGTCAGCCACCTCAGGTACCAGCCTGTGTGAGTAGCACGTCAATAACACGCCAATAACATGCCGCTAACAGCCTCACCAGCCACCTCGGGTACCAGCCTGTGTGTGTGCAACACGCCAATAACACGCCAATAACATGTCGCTAACACCCTCCCTCACCAGCCACCTCAGGTACCAGCCCGTGTGTGGAACACGCCAATAACACGCCAATAACATGTCGCTAACACCCTCATCAGCCACCTCAGGTACCAGCCCGTGTGTGCAACACGCCAATAACACGCCAATAACATGTCGCTAACACCCTCATCAGCCACCTCAGGTACCAGCCCGTGTGTGCAACACGCCAATAACACGCCAATAACATGTCGCTAACACCCTCATCAGCCACCTCAGGTACCAGCCTGTGTGTGCAACACGCCAATAACACGCCAATAACATGTCGCTAACACCCTCATCAGCCACCTCAGGTACCAGCCCGTGTGTGCAACACGCAAATAACACGCCAATAACATGTCGCTAACACCCTCATCAGCCACCTCGGGTACCAGCCTGTGTGTGCAACACGCCAATAACACGCCAATAACATGTCGCTAACACCCTCATCAGCCACCTCAGGTACCAGCCCGTGTGTGTAGCACGCCAATAACATGTCGCCAACACACTCATCAGCCACCTCAGGTACCAGCCCTTGTGTGTAACTCGCCAATAACACGCCAATAACATGTCGCTAACACCCTCATCAGCCACCTCAAGTACCAGCCCGTGTGTGTAACACGCCAATAACATGCCGCTAACACCCTCATCAGCCACCTCAGGTACCAGCCCGTGTGTGCAACACGCCAATAACATGTCACTAACACGCTCATCAGCCACCTCAGGTACCAGCCCGTGTGTGTAACTCGCCAATAACATGTCGCTAACACATGTTCAGCCGCCTCAGATATCATACCGTGTATGTAAGACGCCAATAACACACCAATAACATGTCGCTAACACGCTCACCAGCCACCTCAGGTACCAGCCCGTGTGTGTAACACGCCAATAACATGTCACATGTCGCTAACACGCTCATCAGCCACCTCAGGTACCAGCCCGTGTGTGTAACACGCCAATAACATGTCGCTAACACGCTCATCAGCCACCTCAGGTACCAGCCCGTGTGTGTAACACGGCAATAACATGTAACATGCACATCAGCCACCTCAGGTACCAGCCCGTGTATGTAACACGCCAATAACATGTCGCTAACACATGTTCAGCCGCCTCAGATATCATACCGTGTATGTAAGACGCCAATAACACACCAATAACATGTCGCTAACACGCTCATCAGCCACCTCAGGTACCAGCCTGTGTATGTAACACGCCAATAACACACCAATAATATGTTGCTAACACATGTTCAGGCACCTCAGATACCAACCATAGCAATAACATGTCACTAACATGCTCATCGGCCATGTCAGTATCATCCTTCTGTGTAATATGGCAATAGCATGATAACAACATGGCAATAACATCACTAACACGCTCATCGGCCATCTCAGGTACCATGTGTAACATGTTGCTAACATGGCAATAGCATGTTATTAACATGGCAATAACACGTCACTAACACAATCATTGATCACCTCAGGTAACTTTGTGTGTGTGTAACATGGCAACAGCATGTCAAATATCATGAACACGCTCATCAGCCACCTCAGGTGCCAACCATGTGTGTAACATGTCACTAATATGACAATAACATGCTTATCACGTCTTCGAGACGTCTCAAAGCGCTTCAGAGGATACACTGTAAAGTGAATTGACTGTATATTTGTGGGCGAACGCGGCAGCCAATTGCGCACAGCAATGTCCCACAAACAGTCGTGGGTTGAAAATGACCAATTTATTATATGGGTTTTTTAGGGAATTGTTATCTCTGGAAAACTGATCTGCCAATCGACTAAGAACCGGGTTCCTACTCACTGCTGGTAAACAGGGGTGTGGATGGAGTCAGGAAATGTGCCCAACCTTTTGCCCTGCCGGGAATCGAACCCAGGTCTATCACTGAGCTACAGGTCTCCGATATAGTGACTGCACACAGTCACTGCACTTTACTGCATATCCTGTGAAGCGCTTTGACATGCCCTGAAGACGTGATGAGGCGCTGTATCAAATGCAAGCATTATTTTTATTATGACACCAATGTTACGTGAGCGATGACTGGTTGGGTGTGGGATTGAAGGCCAAAAGACCTGAGAAAAGCTGCAGTGTCTCCAGTATCGTGGCCTACGAGGCAATGGAAGAGAGAGAAGTGGTTCCTGTGGCTCTTCGCTGATTGTTTGTGAATGTTTCCTTACAGCGAGACCGCCTCAGTCTTTCAGCCCAGCAGCCTGAGGTGTCGCAGGAGCAGTGCCTCGGTCAACCTGGGCTGCCCCAGCTCGGTGAGTATGACAGCCTGGCCTGGGGGGGTGGGTGAGGGAACCTGGGGACAACAACAGCAACTTAAGCGAGACACCAGGGTTCAATTCCAGGCAGAGGGCGAAACCTTGGGCAAGTTTCCTTACTCCACACACCCAATAATAATCCCTCAAAAACAATAATAAATTGGTCATTTTCAATCCACGACTGTTTGTGGGACAGACGCTGCTGTGCGCAATTGGCTGCCGTGTTTCGGCCACAGATATACAGTCAATTCACTTTACAGTCTATTCTGTGAAGCGCTTTGAGACGTCTTGAAGAGGTGATAAGGCGCTGTAACAAATGCAAGAATTATTATTATTTATTTCATTTACACACAGCGCCCCTCATGCAGGGTAGCATCCCAGAGCACTTGACAGTGATGGAACACGGTATATACACGCACATACACACAGCGCACACACATATGAATGTACACATTATTACACACACATATACACACGCATATACATGCTCACACAGGCGCACCCCACACAACAACAACTTGTATTCACACAGCGCCCTTCAGGGCAGCGTCCCAGAGTGCTTGACAGTAGCGGAGTGCGACACTGAGCCAGTGGGAGCGTGTGTGACCTGGATAAGAAGGTCTTCAGGCATGACTTGAAGATGGGGAAGGAAGGAGGCAGGGCGGGAGGGACAGAGGGAGAGAGTGACAGAGTTTTGGGCCGTAGTAGCTGAAAGCGTGGCCTCCGATTGTGGAGCGGAGGGCACGAGGGACAAGCCGGAGGCCGGAGCCAGTCGAGCAGAGGCACCGGGTTGGGATTGAGGGGATAAGCAGGTCTTAGAGGTAGGGCGGTGCCGGGGTATGAAGGGATTTGAAAACGTGTGTGAATGACAGTTACACAGCGCTTTTCACATTGGGAGGATGTCCCAAGGGGCTGGATAGTCAGGGATTTGGACCCGAACTGGGGGTTGAGATCAGGAGGGGGTGGGGGTAGTGGGTAGGGGGCGTTACAGCACAGAAGGAGGCCATTCGGCCCATCGTGCCTGTGTCAGCTCTTTGGAAGAGCTACCCAATAAGTCCAACTCCCCCGCTCTTACCTCATAGCTTTGCAAAATTTTCCTTTTCAAGTACCTAGCCAATTCCCTATTGAAAGTTGTCATTGAATCTGCCCCCACCAGCCTTTCAGGCGTTGCGTTCCAGTCCGTAACAACTCTCTGGGTTAAAAAAAAGTCTACCTTTTGGTTCTTTTGCCAATTATCTTAATAATATCTTAATAATAATAATAATCCTTGCATTTGATATAGCGCTTTTCACATCTTCTCGACGTCTTGACGTTCCTCCGGCTCCGGTCTGCTCCACACCCCCCGCCCCAACCGCCCGACCATCGGTGGCCTTCAGCCTCTCAGCCCCGAGGCTCTGGAACTCCATCCCCAGTGCCTTCGCCGCTTCCTCCCTTTCCCCCTTCAAGGCCGGTCTCAAGACCTTTCTCTTTGACCGTACCTTCAGCTCCGCTCTCAACTCTCTACCCCCTCTTCGCTCCCTCCCTTCCCTCCCCTCACCCTGACCATTTCCCCCCTCCTCGCCCCCTCCCTCCCCTCCCCTCACCTTGACCATTTCCCCCCAATGCTCGAGTCCCGACCCAACTGTCCAGCGCCTTGGGACATCCTCACGACGTGAAAGGCGCTCTATAAATGAAATTTTGTTGTTGTCGTTGTTGTCTCAAAGCGCTTCACAGAACACACTGTAAAGTGAATTGACTGTATATTTGTGGGCGAACGCGGCGGCCAATTGCGCACAGCAATGTCCCACAAACAGTCGTAGATTGAAAATGACCAATTTATTATTGTTTTTGGTTTTGGAGGGATTATTATTATGTGGAGTAAGGAAAACTTGCCCAAGGTTTGGCCCTGACCTGCCGGGGATTGAACTCAGGTCTCTCACTTGCAAAGTGAGTGCTCTAACCACTGAACTACATTTTAAACCTGTGTCCTCTTGTTACCAAGGAACAGTTTCTCCCTAACCACTCTATCGAAACCCCTCATAATTTTGAACACCTCTATTAAATAAAGGGGAGAGGCGGAGGGATTGAGGGGCGAGGTGCAGGGGAGGGGTTGAGGGAAGGGGAGAGTGGGGTGGAATTGAGGGGGAGAGGAGTGCTCTCTCTGCTCTTCCAATTCTGTCACTGTCCCGCGCCCCCCACCCCCCGCCCTATTTTTGCCTGCTCTCTGTCACTGTGTCATTGGGTGGATGAGCTGTCAGTTGGTGTCTGCGGATGGAGTAGAGAGCTCCAGTGGGGGAGTGAGCCCCAACACAGACACCATGGAGAGAGAGAGAGAGCAGGGAATGGGGTTAGAGTAGAGAGCTCCATTGGGGGAGTGAGCCCCAGCACAGACACGATGGGGAGAGAGAGAGAGAGAGAGAGAGCAGGGAATGGGGTTAGAGTAGAGAGCTCCATTGGGGGAGTGAGCCCCAGCACAGACACCATGGGGAGAGAGAGAGAGAGAGACAGAGAGCAGGGAATGTGGTTAGAGTAGAGAGCTCCATTGGGGGAGTGAGCCCCAACACAGACACCATGGAGAGAGAGAGAGAGCAGGGAATGGGGTTAGAGTAGAGAGCTCCATTGGGGGAGTGAGCCCCAGCACAGACACGATGGGGAGAGAGAGAGAGAGAGAGCAGGGAATGGGGTTAGAGTAGAGAGCTCCATTGGGGGAGTGAGCCCCAGCACAGACACCATGGGGAGAGAGAGAGAGAGAGACAGAGAGCAGGGAATGTGGTTAGAGTAGAGAGCTCCATTGGGGGAGTGAGCCCCAGCACAGACACCATGGGGAGAGAGAGAGAGAGAGAGCAGGGAATGGGTTAGAGTAGAGAGCTCCATTGGGAGTGAGCCCCAGCACAGACACCATGGGAGAGAGAGAGAGAGAGCAGGGAATGGGGTTAGAGTAGAGAGCTCCATTGGGGGAGTGAGCCCCAGCACAGACACGATGGGGAGAGAGGCCTGGAGGCTGTGATTTGTCGATGCTGGGGTGGTTTAGTGAGTTGAACGGTGTGTGTTTTCCCCCAGTCGTTCCCGCTCGCCTCATGCAGGACTTTCAGCAGCCGAGTTGACCAAATCAGGCAGGTAAGCGTCACCTCAACAACAACAACAACTTGCACTTAAATAGGGTAGGGTAGTGTCTCAGAGAGTCTCACAGGGTGAGGATTGAATCCCTGCAGCTCCATCCATTCACACACGCACAGGATAGGGTCCCAGGGCAGGTGGGCACGGTCTTAAGAGGACCTTTTCAGGCACGACCTGAAGATGAGGAAGGAAGGGGCGAGGGGGAAGGAGGGATAGAGGAAGAGTGTGACAGAGTTTCGTGGGGGAATTGGGTGAATGTTCGGCCACCGATGGTGGAGTGTGGAGGGAACGAGGGGCGAGGAGGAGGCCGGAGCCGGTTGAACGGAGGCAGCGGGTCGGAGAGGTGGGTAGGGAGTTGCCAGGGCGTGAAGCCATTTGAAGACGAGTGAGAGGAGCTGGAAATTGATCCGTTCGGCGATTGGGAGCCAGTGGAGCCTGGTGAGGGCTGGGGTGACGCACACACACACTGCACACACACACACATAGTCCCTCACGCGCAAACACACAGCGCCCCCCCCACCCCCCGCACACACACACAGTGATTCCCAATCTGCTGTGCCAGAGGCTGTAGTACTGGCCTCGGTCACTGGAGGCCCCACGCGAGCGAAAGGGCACGACCACAAAGAACAACAATTTGCCTTTATATAACACCCTTCACCCCCGGCGGTGTCCTAGTCGCTGGCAAATACTCCAGCAATGGGTGCCATCACCACACAAATGTTGTTGTTGTTACTGTCAGACTCAGGAGAGTAATGCAATAAACCAACCGCCTGGTCAGCGATTATATACTAATAATGACATAATAATCCTTGCATTTGACACAGCGCCTTATCACATCTTCGAGACATCGCAAAGCGCTTCACAGGATAATACACTGTAAAGTGTAGTGACTGTTTTGTGGGCGAAACGCAGCAGCCAATTGCGCACAGCGACATCCCCATAAACAGTCGAGTGACCAATTTTTTATTTTTTTTTAGAACAAATTATTACCCCAGAAAATCAATCCGCCAATCAATTAACAACTGGGTTCCTACCTGCTCCCACCTCCTTACGTGTGGAGTAAGGAAACTTGCCCAGCATTTTGCCCTGACCCACCTGGGAATCGAACCCAGGTCTCTCCATGTGAGGCATTATAGTTGTATATCGCCCTTCACGTCAGAAAGACGTCTCAGGGCGCTGGACAATTAGGGATTTGGGACCCGAATTGGGGTCAGGAGGGGTAGAGGGCAGTGGGGGAGGGAGGATGGCCAAAGGCGCAATCGCAGAGGGACTGCTGTGTGCTTAGTCTGGTTAGCAATGAAGCTATGGTCACTGCTCTGCACAGTGCTCTAACCTCCAACCAACCTGTCCGTTCCCTCCGCTCAGGGGGCTCTGCCCTGCTTCAACTCCCCCGCCCGGTCCACCCCACCATCGGCAGGCGTGTGGTCCTTCAGCCTCTCTGCCCCCACCCTCTAGAACTCCATTCCACAGTCCCTCCGCCTCGCTCCCTCCCTCTCTCACCTCCTTCAATACCTGTCTTAAGACCCTCCTCTTCAACCAACTGTGCCTTCGCTCACCCTCCTACCCCTACCCTCCCCACCCTCAACCCCTTCCATTCCCAACTCCCCGCTCGGGTGTGTCCCTGACTGTGCAGCCCAGCGCCTTGGGACATTCTCCTGACGTGAAAGGCAGGCGCCGCGTAACTGTAATGTGTTTGGCAGTGGGAGCTGAGCTGCTGTGTAACCTTCTCTGTGCTTGTTGTTGTAGGAGGAGACTATGGATGTGATGAACAGGGAGACCGCACATGAACGGTATGTCCCAGAGCGCTGGACAGTCAAGGGTTTTTGGTCCTGAGTTGGGGTCAGGAGAGGATGGAGGGCGGGGGAGGGGGTGGGAGGGTGTCTGAGGGCGCAGTCGAAGAGGAAGGTCTTGAGACGGACTTGAAGGAGGCGAGAGAGGGGCGGAGGCGGAGGGATTGCGGGATAGAGTTCCAGAGGAGGGGGCAGAGAGGCTGAAGGCCCGACCGGCAATGGTGGGGTCGGGAAGTGCAGGAAGGCATGAAGCTGCCGGTGTCCGCCGAGCGGAGGGAGCAGACAGGGTGACATGGGGTTAGGAGGTCGGAGAGGTAGAGGGGGAACAAGAACGTAGAGGGCTTTGTGGGTGAAGGTTAGTGTTTGTAGCTCGCCAAGTCTTGGACTCACAGACATTTACACAGAGCGAGAGAGAGACACAGAGGCCCTTTGGTCCATATTGTCGGCGCACTCCCTCAAGAGCTACCCTCTCAGTCCCATTTCCCTGGCTTTTCCCCCCTTCACCTTGTTAGATATCTGTCTGGTTCCCTCTCAAACCCAATATGGATTCTGTCTGAGCCACTGCTCTCACCAGGGCCTTCCATACCCAAATAGTAATAATAACGTCTTCGAGACGTCTCAAAGCGCTTCACAGAATATGCTGTAAAGTGCCGTGACTGTATTTTGTGGGGGAAACGCAGTAGCCAATTGCGCAAAGCGACGTCCCCACAGACAGCCGCGGATTGAGTGACTAAATTATTATTTTATTTCGATATTTCTGAAGTTATTATTACCCCCGGAAAAGCAATCCGCCAATCGACTAATAAGCGGGTTCGTACTTACTGCTTGTAAACAGAGGCATGTGTGCGTGTGGAGTAAGGAAGGTTTCCCCACACCTGGGAATTGAACCCGGGCTCTCTCCCTTGCGGGGCGAGTGCTCTAACCACTGAGCTACAGGACTTCACAGAATATACTGTAAAGTGAATTGACTGTACTCTGTGAAGAACTTTGAGACGACTCGAAGACGTGATAAGGCGCGGTATCAAATGCGAGGGTTATGATTATTATTATTATTATCTTGCTGTTACTGAGCGGACTCTGTCTGAATGTCTGTGTCTCTGTATTTGTCTTTGCCCAGAGGGATCCACACGGCTATGCAGATGAGCTGCTCGTGGGAGGACAGTTTTACGTTGGTGAGCAATTTGACACAGCGCCTCATGCTGGATGGTCAGGGATTAGGACCTGATTGGGGTGGGTTGAGATTGGGGAAGGTGGAGGGCAGAGACGGAAGGAGGGTGGCCGAAGGGGAGGTTGTTGAGACTGGTCGTGAAGGAGGCAACTGTTCCATCACAAAAGACTTGTGGCGTTAATTAACACTAAGCCTGACTGCTCACCTCACTCACTCACTCACTCACTCCCTCTCCTCCAACGCTATTCAAAGTGAAAGCAACATAACAAAGTCTTACATCGCAATGACCCCTCCTCACACCCCCATCAGTGCAGTCCTGTAGCTCATCGGTTAGAGCGCTTGCCTCGTAAGCGAGAGGACATGGGTTTGATTCCCAGCAGGACAAAACGTTAGCCAAGTTTCCTTACTTTCCCCTCCCGCCCCCCCACCTCACCCCCCCCCCCACACACACACACACACACATGTGCTTCTGTAGTCAGTAGGAATCCTCTTGTTAGTCGATTGGCTCACTGGGTAGTAATCCCTCCAAAAAAATATTTGGGCACTCAATCCATGACTGTTTGTAGGACGTCGCTGGGCACAATTGGCTGCCTTGATTCGCCCACAAAACACGCAGTCACTTAACTTTACGGTGTATCCTTTGAAGACTTTGAGACATGACAAAGACATGGTAAGACATGAAATGCAAGGATTATCATTATTTACTGTAAAATGGAGGGACTGTGTATTTATCGGCCAACACAGCCCACAGCAATGTCCCCCAATCAGCCTTCCAGTGAGTGACCAATTTTATATGAGGTTGGCCAGGACACTGAGAGAAAGAGAGAAACTCCCTTCTCTTTTTGACTAGCGCCGCGGAATCTTTAACATCCGCCTGAACAGGAAGACGGGAACTCGGTTTAACCTCTCATCTGAAGGACAGCACCACTGACAATGCAACACCCCCCCCCAGCGCTGCATTACAGTGTCGTCTTAGACTATGTGATTCCAGGTCCCAACGTGAGGCTTCAACCCACAACCTTCTGTCTCAGAGGCGAGAGAAAGAGCACTAACCTGAGCCGGGCTGACACCCACACACTGAGCCGGGCTGACACCCACACACTGAGCCGGGCTGACACCCACACACTGAGCCGGGCTGACACCCACACACTGAGCCGGGCTGACACCCACACACTGAGCCGGGCTGACACCCACACTCACACACTGAGCCGGGCTGACACCCACACCCACACACTGAGCCGATCTGACACCCGCACACACACACTGAGCCGGGCTGACACCCACACACTGAGCCGGGCTGACACCCACACACTGAGCCGGGCTGACACCCACACTCACACACTGAGCCGGGCTGACACGCACACACTGAGCCGGGCTGACACCCACACCACTGAGCCGGGCTGACACCCACACACTGAGCCGGGCTGACACCCACACACTGAGCCGGGCTGACACCCACACTCACACACTGAGCCGGGCTGACACGCACACACTGAGCCGGGCTGACACCCACACACTGAGCCGGGCTGACACCCACACACTGAGCCGGGCTGACACCCACACACTGAGCCGGGCTGACACCCACACTCACACACTGAGCCGGGCTGACACGCACACACTGAGCCGGGCTGACACCCACACACTGAGCCGGGCTGACACCCACACACTGAGCCGGGCTGACACCCACACCCACACACTGAGCCGGGCTGACGCCTACACACTGAGCCGGGCTGACACCCGCACACACACACTGAGCCGGGCTGACACCCACACTCACACACTGAGCCGGGCTGACACCCACACACTGAGCCGGGCTGACACCCACACTCACACACTGAGCCGGGCTGACACCCACACTCACACACTGAGCAGGGCTGACACCCACAC